TTGTAATAGTCAACAGGTTAAGACTCAAGTTATACAATGCATACATTCATTGCAATGCAGATCAGGCGAAGAACATCAAAGGTCGATACGTATTTCAAAGTAACACGACGAGTGAATATTTCTACTTAAGCTAGAGTTATAAATGATTGAGTATAAATGCACAGGATCAATTTGTACCCCTAATAATAAAAGCACCAAGCAAACAATTTATTCATGACGTCATGAATTGCACAATTTGAGCAGTGATCGAACGGTTAAACGGCCCATTATGAAATATTTAATTTTATAATTCAAATTCTAAAATTGCTTAAGAAATGATGCTCAGTCAGCTGTTCAGTCTTTCTAAATGTGACTTTTGCTCGTCTTTGAATGGGCGTCATCAAGCATTACTTTTCGCAGCACGAACGTGGTCGAGGCGCGAGAATCGGCGTGCCGTCGCGTTTGTGAGTTTCTGACTTGGTTTTCGATAGTAACAGCGGTCCAAAGAAACAGCGTACGTGCCAATAACGTGTCCGTTAGATAAATTAATATCGAGTAGAACGAGTCGGTCGACCTCGTGAAGGCAACTCGATCTCGCAGCCAATGTGTTGTTTAGCTTAACAGAAGAAACAAAGAATGATACATATATATATATAGAGAGAGAGAGATGTATCATTCTTTTATGTTTATGTATATACAGATTGTGTGTGTATACACATACACACGCATACACAATTATTTTTTGTAACCGATCCTAAAAGGGGACGGGCCGTTTTGACTGTCCGTCTGAATAAATATTAACGCGTAAAATGCAAATAACGAGCGATGCTCCGGATCCATATGGGAGTCTTCTATAGATTCAGGAATACCACTATATTTTGTGTGCGTGCGTAGTGTCTGCGTGTTACATAGCTTTAACGATAACTTAGTCCGAATGATCCTCTCACCGTAACGCGCAATCATATTCGTATTACCATACTGTAAGATATATTGTACCTAACGAGCGAAGGAAGGGTGTCTCTCTGAAATAAAGACGAAATATTTATTCACGCGAGGTTGTACAATGAAGTTGTAAAGTTTGATCTTCGTTGCTTCTCGTAGTTCTTTTTATCATTTGGGAATTAACCTATTCTCTGCCATTACATATCTCGTAGAGTTTGGCTTGATTGCAATTGGTCATTGAATAAGTTTATAGCTTATAACCGTTTGAGTTAGGAATTATTAGACAGAATGAACGAAAATTTTATACAATTTTTTTTTTTTTTTTAAGAACAAGTTTACTATCACATATTAAGTTTATTTATTACATACTTGCAATAAACATTTCATTAAAGATAAAAAAAAGCAAAGATTATTTTATTATCAAAATAATAACTTTACTTATTGACATTTTTTTTATTTTTACTCTAAAATTATCTGGCAGTGAATGGATTAAATGCAAGTTGAGTTAATTAGCAAAGTGCCTGTATTACGTCGATATTTACGTTTGGGAAACCTTGGTAGAAACAGGAGTTCAAAAGCGTCGACGCAGGGCCGGTGTTAGAGTTGCTAGCGATGAAATGTTTAATTTACATCCATCTTAACTCATGTTACATATTAAAAATAAATTTAAAATTAGTTTTCAATTTCGTCGATACCTATTGCTTAAGTTACTGTCAAGACGGTCTTTTCAAGAGTTTATTAATAATTTGATCAGTCTCTATTTTATTAGTTTGCGTGAAATGCTACACTTGTTTTTATTAATCCTTACAATTTTTCGTTTTTTTCTTGTTAAAATGCTTCCTGTGAGGGGGCACCGTTCTGTTTCCACGCGAAGCTGGCCCTGTATATATAATTATTAAACGGTATTATTATCGCTCAATATTTTTATATATAGCATTTGTTTACTTTACGACCCATCTATCCTGAATAATTTTTATAAACTTTGTATTTATTTTTAGAAATTGCTGCAAGATTGTGTCAAGTTATTGACACCTGTGTTTCTGTGTTCGAATTGAAAGCTGTGGATTATGGATACGATTCGATATCAGAAAAAAAATGACTGATATTCGCATATTCGATTTTACAGCCTGGATTAGGAATATTTTTCCTTATTTTATCACGTTTACATTTCAGTTTTCCTCCATTGCAGTTAATGTGAAGTTATTGCAGGATGATAATGCGTTACCGATCATACAAAGTCAGCTCAAGGCACGTATACTCTTAGTTGGGCTAATGTACATCATTCCAATGAAATCATGAATATTGAAAAACATTTACGATCAAGATCGAACACTATAAGCTAACCGAAATAGGAAAACAGTGAATAATACATGAAACAATTGTATACAATTTATATTTTGTAAAGAGAAGGTGTAGAGAAAAGTTTGAAAACGATCCATTGACCGGTCGTGGTAGGTTTAGCGTTAACTCCATAATAGATACAATTATTATACTCAATAGTTTGTTGTCAATTTTTACTTTCAACCAAAAAATTTCAAGGAAAAATGAATAAAAATTGGTACGTGCCAATGGCGTAACTGGCGCGTCGCGCAATTAGTCGTAAATATTGCGATCGTTATCGCGGTGTCGATAAACCGAGCGAAAAATTTGGCGCTGCGATGGTAAAGAATGCTCGGCGAAGCACAAGGGGACGGTAAGAGATGGCAGGTGCACTCAGCCCCGGAGGAAATCAATATGAAGAGGATTGGGTAGAGGGGTTGGAGGTGCGTCGAAGCATCCCCATGAGAGAGACAGCCACGCAAGGCTGGGAACGCCGATATAGCGGCCGAGCTGCGACAAAAACGAGCTGGAAGATGTCATAGTCTCGGGGACAAACGGAGTTCCGCGTAACACCTCTTTTTATCCTCGATCTTCCATCCACCCTTCTCCCTTTCTGTCATCCTGAAACCCCCTTCGCCGTGGGAGCACCAGCCTCGCTCCCAATATAGTGAATCAATAATTACAGTGACAGTGCGGTGATTACGCGATCCGTGCCGGGCAAGATGTCGGTGAAGGTGAGTGTTGCGATTCAATATACAGAATTTTTTGGGAATCGTTGCTCTAACGTTGTATTCGAAGCTGTTTCGTTATGCTCTCTAGATTTCGAATATCTTGGCTTTCGTATTGGCGAGATTCGCGTTATGTAATTGTTCACGTTGAGAACAATCTATTGTTTGATTGATCGAACACTGTGTTAGGGTCGATCGAAATTGTACGAGATAGATCGTGCTCGAAAATCGGTTGACGAAAGGTATCTCGTTCCTAGGCTCCGATATGGTCGCATTCGTTGCTACCTATGGCAGGGATGTACCGTTTTGTTCGGATGGAAAATCAAATTTTTTATTTAGGATATGTTGAAATAGATTTTAAGTGTTTATTCGCAAAATTCTAAGGCGACAGTTGAAGATTTAAAAATGATATAGACTTTTGAGTGAAACACTGTACAGACAGTTAAAATACAATAATAGTTAAAAATATGGTTCTACTGGTTGCTATCTATGGCAGGATGTACCGTGGCCAGGATGTCAGTGATTCTGTTCCAATGAGAAATCAACTTTTTAATTAAGTATATGTTGTGGCAGAGTTGAAGATTTTATTTTTACAATGATAGGGTGATATTCAAAGGTTTCAAAATGATACAGATTTTTGAATGGAACGTGCAGCTCAACTTATTATTACTTGGTTTATTAGGTTGTGAAGGTTGTGTAGCCAACTATAACACTTTATTTCTAGAGTGGGGAATAGTCTGTAATAAACACAAATTGCCTCTCCGTTGCTTCCCTTATCCAAAGGACCTTGAATCGTTTCCCAAGCCTCAGGCCATAAAAATCCTTGATTCCTCCCTGATAGCCCCTTAAATGGAACAGAGGTTTCGTTATCGTTATCGATATCGATATCGATATCGATACAATTTTACGAAGCGACCACTTTTTTCTCGTTCGATACGAACTTCAGGCGCCTAACAAATACTCGGGCACGAGTCACCAACGAACACGCGATACGCGTTGGATTCGCGATGGGCGGGCAATCGCGCGATTACAAACTCGTCTGTAATTCAATGCTTGTCGTGCCCCTATCGTCGATACCATGGCGGGAGACGGAACGTTCAATTGGAAACTTGAAACGTTTCAGAGCAGTTCTATACGGCGCTATACGGAGAATCAATTTTCTTTTTAACGATACTTGGAAACGTGTTATTACTTTCGAGCTGGTCCACGAGACTGTTATTTTTAGACTAAAAAAGGTACACTTTGTGGCATACGAAGAGGAACGTTTGGAATTTTTGAATATACCGTATTTTAATGAATTCTGACAATAATGACGAGCTGAAAAGTGGTTTCTGATGATTTCTATTAGTCTGATCGTCGTATCTGCCAATTATTCAAGTTTCAGTTGTTCCTCGCTCGATCCTCGCCGAAGGCATAACGAAGCGAAACGGTATCGGGACAGATACGGTAATTATATTAACGTCGCCACAAGTGTCCGTTTCCTGCCAGAACTGCCGCGTACGAAACCGAGCGGCTCGATTGGACACGCGTGCGCGTGCTCACGCGGATCCGCTTGCGTACACGCGTGCTAATGACGCGTGCAGGCGGCCTGCAATTCCGACCTCACAAGCCTCGCCACGCTTTATTCGCGTCAACGATCCTCCGAGTCTCCTTTGCCATTGCCGTTGGTGAGACAGCCACCAACCTGTTAAGCTAATTAATATCGGGCTTGAATATTTTCTGGAATCTAATTGAAAATTTCACCATTTCACGTTTCTAAGAAGTTATACTTTTAACGCGCGGCATTCGACGCACCCACTTTTTATATTTAAACATCTTATTAAAAGTTTCCAACCATTAGCTCGCTATTATTCGCGACAAAGGATAAACAAATGATTCTTTGTCGCGAGTGATACCGATTACCGGAGGTTGCTGCGACTAGAGACCCTGAGGGAGGTAGAAGGAAACAGAGTTGAAATGGTGAAAATGGTGAAAATTGCCTCGAAACTGATGAAAATCCTGTCATCGGGAACTATCGTTATCAGCCAAGTTACCGACTGGACTCAAACATTACACGGATGGCATTTCACGGGGCGCATAGACTAGTTTTCTCGATCGCATCGCGACGACTGGGTCACGTTATCGGCCCGTCGAATAGCTTCCCTCCAGAACTATCGAGGCGTCGCGTCGTGATAGCGCGTGATCGCGAGCGACGCACGAATCGTGCTAGACGCCCGCGCCAGTTCGACGCTCGATCGCGCGGCGTCTGGACTTGGAGCGTCGTTTTCGTTTCTATTTAGCGTACAGAGAAACGTGAAACGTTTCTCGATCGTCTTCGAGACGCGATTTTCGTTCGTGCAGCGTTGTCAGGGCGTTATTCGCGCGCGACCCGAGATGAGCGAGCGACCCTGGTATTCGCTACGGCGTGACGGCGACTCGAGGGTACGTATTTTTAGTTTGGTCTAAAAATGTGTCATCAACCGCGCACAAATTTCGACGACGAATTTTCCACTTTGCTCGTAGAAACGCGAGTCGTTCGCGCGCGCCTTGGTCGCGTTTTGCGTGCAAAATTGCGTCGAATCCGCGGCGATCTTTTCCGCGAACGTATAGTGTCACGCGTCGCGCCCAACTGTCGTCTACGTCTTTCTGCGTCATCGCGAAGCAATCGTTGGAAGATTCAGCGAACGTTTTTGTAGACGTTACGATCTATGTAGATCAGGGGTCGGCAAACTTTTTCTGACGACTCGAATAATAGGAATCGTTGGCTTTCAAGGGCTGAGAAGTGAGAGGTAACGCAGTGGATAGTTCTTCTACTTCATTTTGATATTGGTCTTTTCATTTTACTTTTTTTCGTACACATAATCCTCGATTCACATGGAAGACCTATTCCTTGGTATATACTGTTTCGATCTTTTTGTTAGTATACATGGATAATATTACGGAAGAACTGTTTCTTGGAATAGGAATGTATGTAGATTGCAGGTGTTTCTGCATTTATCGAGAGTGATAATATGGAAAAATGAACAGATTTTTATTTGAATCTCATTTATCTATCTGTATCTGTAAAAATACTAATTTGCATAAGCATCCGCAGTCTAGCAATAAGATTCAATCGAATCATAGAATTACTGTTGAAGGTTTACTTCTTTTTTGTATATACAAAGAGGGGCAATTTTAACTTCAATAACACGTTAATCGTCGAGTTAGTCATTTATGGGTGACGGTGCTTTTGACCGAAGAACCAAATAAATTCATTTTAAATAGTCTGTAAACAAAATTTAATCTCAGTAAAAATGATCAATTGTATTGGTCTGGCAGTGAAATTAAAAGTGTTAATAGACTTTATTTGATGAATGCTTAACTAGCAATTTCGCGATTTCGCTGTAAAATTGATTTAAAATTCATTTTTTATATGTAATTTGCTAACGCTTGATCCAGAGATAAAGAGATCTCGCGATGTTGGTGAACGAGAAAGAGTCGATCTAGGTGGATATTACTTTGGATCGCGAAAATACATAGCGTCATAGTCGAAGATGTATTCGTGATATTAGCTCGTGAAATCTTCTCGTAATCACCGTTATCATTAAGATAATTGCCGTGCATGGGACGCGATTACCGCCGTCCGTACAAAAGATTTACGAGCGGCTAATTATATTATCTCGCATGCTAGGCTATTGTGCAACGGCGAGGCCAACCCCGGTGTTTTTATTCTAGCGTTAAAGTGTCTCTGCGTCAACCTTTCCTAAAAAAAAGTATACCGATTGTGTGGATATCAATGAGATATTAATCGTCACTTTTTCCTTTGTTTTCAGATGATGATGTATAAGCAGGCGGAGTTTGAGGACGAGGACAGCAGCAGCATCGGGTCCGTAGCTCTCAACAGCGAGGGCATCAGCACGTCCGCGACTCACATTAGATATCGTTCGGTACGTTTCAAGGTATAACAAGGAACATTTACACAACGTATTAATAAATCTTTGCAAATATGTAGCGTATATAAAATAGAAAGATTTTCATAATTTAGAATAGAAAACCGGGTATAGAATTTGAAGTGACTTGAATTCACGTCAGCGGTCGCGAATGTGTTAAGAGTTTTTCTGTTAATTTTACCAAATAAAAACTTATTTCTCTTTTACTCGAAATTTATCCAAGTCGAAATGTATCTAAATAACAATTTTAGCCATCTCTGTTTGCAAGCGATGGTAAAGTTCTATACTTGTTGATACAATCCGGGTGACTTTTACGATCGAATCGGCGCTACAACGACTAATTTCTCAGGAGACGATTACGGTTATTAGACTGTGAGCGATAGAGCTATCCTAGCAATAAGACGGTGCCAACTGTCGCGAGTTTCTAACGCGCTTAAACGATCTTCGTCGGTCTCGATACAGCGTTTGTTTGTTGCGCAGGGGACGTCGCTGTGGAGAGCGAGAAGCACGCTGGAGAGATGCCTGTTTATCATTTGCACCGGCCTATTGCTGATGGTCGTGTTGCTGTCGATAGTTATCAGCAGCAAGAACGGCTGGGACGAGGCGCAGATACTTCACGTGACTTCCCACGGAGAAGGTACCACTTGTAGGACCAAAATTTCACTAATTTTAACCCTTTCTAATAAATTCTTCAGCTACTATTTTCGTCTTTTACGATACTCGTTTCAGAGATCGAGTGGCTGAACGATTCACCTATTTTCAGTCGTACAAATAAATCTGAAATTTGTATTCAGAATAAAATGTTCCCAACGCAGTTTAGTTTTGTGTCGATTCAATTGTTCATACAAGTGGATCTTGTTTTCAGACGGCACGCACTGCCTGACGAAACATTGCGTGACGGTAGCTGCGTCCAGTATAAACAGTATAGATTGGTCCGTCGATCCGTGCGATGATTTCTACGAGTACGCCTGCGGTGGATGGATAAAAAAGAACCCTATACCGGATGGGAACAGCATGTGGGGAACATTCGACAAACTGAAGCAAGAAAACGAGTTGGTGCTCAAGAACATTCTTGGTAATTCTCAGGCAACACGTTGAATTTGTGTTAATATCAACACTTGTAACGACTAGCCAGTAAACTATCCACGCTATTTGACAATGTAGCTTATCATGTAAGATACAAAAAACCGTGAAACAAACACGAAATCTATCGATATATATATAGAATAGATATATATATATATATATATATCTATAAATAAGTTAGTTACTTTTAGAGAAAGCTATACTTTTTACGGAAAGCGTTAATCGAGGACGATTGTAATATTAATCGCAGCTGGTTTTTGTTTAAAAAGAGAAACCGCTAAACAATATGAAGTCGAAGGCTGAGAGAAAGGCCAAGTATTACTTCATGTCCTGTATGGACGCGAACGATACCATCGAGACCCTCGGTGCGAAGCCTATGCTCGACTTGTTGGATTCTATTGGTGGCTGGAACATCTCTGGGAAATTCAATCTGAGCTCGTGGTCTTTGCAGAACAGCATGCAACTTCTGCAAAACGTTTACAACATGGACGGTTTATTTACATGGGCGGTGAACGAGGACGATCGAAATAGTACCAGGCACATTATACAAGTGAGACACGCGTCAGCGATTCTTGGTAAATTTAGGACATCGTCTAACGAAAAGGTTTATTTTCCAGATCGATCAGGGAGGTCTGACTTTGCCAACCGCTGACAATTACTTGAACGTTACCGAGAACAGCAAAGTGTTGCTTGCCTATCTAGACTACATGACGAAGGTACATCAACTACGAATAGTCGAGTAGATTACCGCGTGTTTCGTTGGCGGATCCTAGCATTTGATGAATCGAGTACAGGCGCTCGTGCACGTTTACAGATCGGCGTGCTGCTAGGTGGCGAGAAGAACGCGACCAGGGTACAGATGCTCGAGGTGATCGATTTCGAGACGAAGCTGGCCAAGATCATGACGCCTCTGGAGGAACGTAGGGACGAAGAAAAGCTTTACAACCCGATGACGTTGAACGAGCTTCAACGTAAAGCACCTTTCGTGAGTGATATTTCTGCTATATATATATATAGAATTTCAATCGAAAAGTGGTACTGTTGATACTGTGGTATCGAGGAAATGCAGAACGACTATGACCGTTAGAGGGGATATTCGCTTGAATATAAATTGTAAAATTTGGATATCTCTGTTTTTACTACACTTTAACGTTATAGTTACTTCCTACATGTCTGTTTTACAAATATAATTGCAATTCGATCAGTTTTTTAAATTAATTTCTCTCTTTCCAAAATGTTACAATTGACAAGAAAATGCTCAACATTTTACCTGAGGTTTGTCGAGGCAAGCTTTTAGAGGTTCGATCAATGAATTTTATCGTTGATATTAAGAATGTTATAGAAGAAAAAAACCATTGGGGATTCCAATACCATTTACTATTTAACGACTGTCCATGTATTTCTAGATGTCTTGGGTGGACTACTTTCAAAACGCGACGCGTTTAGTCAACAAGAAGATCAGCGGCGACGCGACGATCGTCAACTTCGCACCGGAATATTTTGTCAAGTTGTCGAAACTCGTGCTGGAGTACAACAAGACGGACGCTGGAAAAGTGTAAGTTGGATCACGTGTCGCGATTAATTTTTGCTTCCATGATCCATCGTTGTCTACTTGAACTCTTTTTCTTTCCACAGAATACTGAATAACTACCTGGTTTGGCAGACCGTGAGGCCCCTGACGGGGTGCTTGTCGAAGCCCTTCCGTGACGCTTACAAGGGCCTCAGGAAAGCCTTGATCGGCTCGGAGGGCCGCGAGGAGCAGTGGCGTTATTGCGTCAGCGATACGGACAACGCGATGGGCTTTGCGATCGGCGCCATGTTCGTACGAGACGTCTTCCACGGGAGGAGCAAACCCATGGTTAGTTCGAACTCGCGTAAGGATCGCGGCCTCTACATCTAATGGACATCGATTCCAGGCGGAGCAGATGATCGATCAGGTACGGCAAGCTTTCACGAAAAACTTGAAGAATCTCGATTGGATGGACGCGGAGACCAGGCAAGCCGCCGAGGAGAAAGCGAACGCCATCACCGATATGATCGGTTTCCCAAATTTCATACTGGACCCCAATCAGCTGGACGACCTTTACAGAGATTTGTACATTAAGCAGAACGAATACTTTCAGAATACCATACGGGTGAACAAGTATAATTTACGGAAGAACCTGGAGAAGCTCGATCAACCCGTGAACAAGACCACTTGGATCATGACGCCGCCCACCGTGAACGCTTATTACAGGCCTACCAAAAATCAGATGGTCCTACCCGCTGGTATCCTACAGAGTCCGTTCTATGACATGGAGAACCCTAGTAGCTTAAATTTCGGTGGTATAGGAGTCGTCATGGGCCACGAGCTGACTCACGCGTTCGACGATCAAGGTACCACTCCTACAGTTTCGTTGATGGACGAATACACGTGTTCCTTACGCACGATGGTATAATTGTTTGTCTTTCGCTTCGCGGTCCTCAGGAAGGGAATACGATTTACACGGGAACTTGAATCAGTGGTGGAACAACGCGACGATAGAAAGGTTCAAAAATAGAACGGAATGTTTCGTAGAACAGTACAACAGCTTCGAGATACACGGTCGGCACGTGAACGGACGGCAGACTTTGGGTAATAAGAGTAACACGACGCCGACGTATTAGCCAAGTAAAAAACGCAAACAAAAATTAATCGACTCGGTTTGCAGGAGAAAATATTGCCGACAACGGAGGCCTCGAAGCAGCGTACCACGCGTACCTCACGACGCCTAAAAGCTACAAGGATCAGCTACCATTACCTGGTCTCAATCTAACGCATCGTCAGCTGTTCTTTCTGAATTTTGCTCAGGTAATACCACTATGCCTCCAGTCAGAGATTAACCCTTTTGCCACGATTACTTTATTCGAGTAGAACAACTCTGGTAGTGCATGTAAGCCAGTACGTGTGAAAGGGTTGATCTGCTTGTAATGGACGTCTACACTGCGGAACATAACTGTAGCACTACCTATATTTTTAAATGTTTCAGACTTTTTAGTAGGAATGAAAAAAGATTTTGATGCATTTTCTATTAGTGCTGATGCGTGGCGATATAGTTATGCTCCGCAGTGAATCTCTCTAACAATCATATCCGTTTTAAATTGCTGTCGATAGGTCTGGTGTTCAGCTGCAACGTCTGAGGCGATTGTTCTCCAAATCGAGAAAGATTCTCATTGTCCGGCGAAATTCAGAGTGATAGGACCTCTTTCGAATCTCCCCGAGTTCGCTACCGAATTCAATTGTCCGAAAGGCTCGCGAATGAATCCGGTTCACAAATGCGAGGTGTGGTAACGCGCCATGTTTTCGATCGCTCTGATTTCCGGTGTAGCGAACGAGTCGTCGAATGGCTCCTTTTCGATTCAATTCGTGCAATCAACGAGTCGTTCGATGAAGGACCGAATTACTTGAATCGGTCGAGGGCAATCCTCTTGGCGGATCAGCGATTCAAATGTCGACGATGAATCTTCAGGAGATGTGTTGCGCAACGGCGCGATCGTCATTGGGGATCGCTGACACCTCGTTCATGCAAACGACGATGAAAATGTTCGAATTCCATTTCAATGTCGTTCGAATGGGTTCGAATGGTACGTGACGAGGGCATTGATTTTACGATGCGATATTATTCGGACCGGTCAAGTACTTCCATTTGTTGAATCCTCGATCGTTGATTTATCGAGAACCGTCGAGATCGCAACGTGCCACACTTTTGGGACTCCGTATGTTTGCAACGAATGCCAGAGATGCAATTTTATATACCGATCCAAGGTCCGAGATTTCGCGTATAGGACGAAAGTTGAGCGTTTCTCACGGTGCAGAACTTTTGCGCGTTTAGGCGTCTCGATTCTTTCGGAACAATCGATAGGAATGCTCGCTACGCGACCATCAAGGCACTAGGACCATTATATGAATTTATTGCTCTTTCTTATATAGCTATTTTAACGCGACCCAGAGCGATAGGTTTTCCGACTAATCAGTGTTCACTGTGGTTCATCGCGATCGATCACCGAACCGACCGACATTGCACCGTAAGCGAACGTAAAGTCATTTTTTACTTTTATACTTGTATTATTCGATCGTCAGTCGATTCGAGTATAGGTACATTCACGACACGAAAGATTCAATCAAATTTCCGCGAACGCTCATGCCAACTGGAACGACCTGTATAATCGCCGAATATTTATCGAATTGATACAAACGTTTTCATCCTTAGCTGCGGTACATTACTTTCCCATAGGTCGAAATAGAGGGTATGTACTATTGTTCAAGGTCGATTTACTTTGCTTTGCTCGCATCAGGAGGATTCTCGAAGATCTCGATGAGCCATAGCGATCGTGAATCGCAAACACGGTGCCGTAATTTTCTGCAGGCAGGATCTAACGTTTAAGCTTAAGAAGTTTAATTTTATAAACAAGCTACGGGCTAGTTATATAGAGCGGAGTTAGTACGTTAATCTAGGGGATGCGTTTTCACGCACTATGGGTGCCGAGACGAAATATTTTTCAATGTGCTTAAGTGTATATTTTCATTCTGTCTCGTGCTGCTCAGTATTCGAGCGAATCAAAAAGTTCTCCTTTCGTTTGCTACAGATGTATCGAGAGGATTGTATACAGTGTATAGGTGTAAACCAAATTATAGTCTACTTTAAGAAATTATTTGTACAAAAAAGTGGTGTCGATAGGTTTCCACGCGTGCAACCTCGAGATCTTTTAAATCAAACGAATCGCAAAAGGACGAGAAACGATGCGAAAGTCATTTGGCGCGATATAACTACTCTGTAACTGATACGTCTGTTAACTATGTGCCGTGAATCTTTATTTTTCATTGTTTCAAAGTATTGTTAAGTATAGTTAAGTATAGTTATTAGAAGGAAAAAGCCGATTGTATACTTTAAGCGCGTAAGATGTGTCCGAGTGGTTCTTTTTATACTCGTTTGGTGACGACTGACGAGTGAGAACAAAATTGTCAGCAACCACACCCTTTCTTTGTATGTTACATTTTACAAAACAAGCGAAGCTAGATAACGCCAATAATTCATCGATGCTGGAACGCGAGAGAATGATGAAGAAAAATTTTATGCGTCGTGCGAGTAGCTCTTAGAGGGCGGGAATTATTTCGATTGCGCCACTAATATTATACAATATCATTGGAGATATTTATTAATGACGCACGTGTAAATCAAATAAAGAACGAATTAAATAACGATCAGATTGCTTTATAAATTGCAGGGAAGGAGGTTTTTGTTTCTTCCGTTGCTCCAGAGAAAAAGTTTGAACTAGTCGTGTTGGAGAAGGTAAGAAGTGAAATGGAAATATTTTAACATGTTTTTATATATGTGTAGAGAATGTTGATCGTAACGTACCCCGCGATTTTTTGATAAAAATGTTTGGCAGAACAGTTACTCGGTCGGCTGCAAGATCACCCTGATTGTTTTAAACGACACTGATAAAGTAAGGGGTGACATTCGTAACATTGTAGCCGGTGAAAAGACGAGTTGAGCGATCTACTATACCGTGACCCTGAAATGTCTGTCAAATGAAAAATGAATGTTCTTCAAATGAGGTGAAAATGTCTGATAAATCGTGAGAACCGTCACAATAAACATACTTGCTACATATATTTTATTTTGTTTACCTTCAATTCTTGTTAATCATATTCGCGTTAGATTAAATAATTGTAGCGACATCCTGTCCGAAGAATGACTATTTTGTACGTAACTTGTACCAAATGTTTTCCAGAATGCAGATGAAAGCACTCAGTATCATCATGTAAATAAGCCCCAAGAGTAGAAAATGAATATGAGCGTATTCCACCGGTTGAAACATTGACTGTTGATTTTCCGAGCTCTCTATACCCTCGGGCATCCATTTCCTTTCAAGGTACTTGAACAATCCCGCAGAGTACAGTCGCATCAGGCTACCAAAAAGCAAAAATGTTCTATTTAAAAATATTTCACGAGAATTCAACAGGAAATTATAAACAACACTTACTAGACGTTTATCAAGTTTCGATGCTCGGCAAATCTAGCATGCAGGAATGAAATCTTGAGACGCCAGTAATGATGAGGCGTTTGAACGATACGGCAAGCGTGCTGAACACGTCGATAAATCGGCAGAAATACGTCTGGGACCTCCAAGTAAGCGAGACCTGGCTTGCAAAGTTGGGAATCCAACGTACTAATGTCTCTCATGTCTGGACAGTCGTTATTGACTAGCTTCTTCCACTCCTTCTTCACTTCACCCCACGGCGAACCGTTCTGTCAAATGTAACGTCGATCGAACGAATCTGATACTACTATCAGAAAGTATTGACACATCACCTGCTTCTGAAATATGTATTAACGGGATACTCTTTGTTTTTTACTTTTTTCGAGATACGTGGACGTTCGATCTGAAGTCATTGAAATATCTCGGGTACTATGCATCGGATAAAAAAAAGTGGGTAATGAAAGTTGTTGGTCTCGAAGAGGGACATCCGATGATACCAACACTCGACCCCCACCGCCACTCCGTTGGAGCTATGAAAAATCTATGTCTTAATCTTCCCAGAAAAAAGAATTCAATCCTCCTTTAACATGTGAATTCGAGGTGTAAAGATATTCCAGAGAAGGAAGGAGCTTGTGTCAATACTTTCTGGAGCCTCTGTAGAAAATGCAATTATAAAATTACCTCCGTGAAGTGAATGTAGGCAAGGCTATCGTTCCTCACGCAAACGGAGTGACTTCGTTTCTGCAGCGCATCCTCCAGGCTTGTTAACGGAACAGAGTTTCCACGTATCGCTAGATAAGAGGTGAGGGTGCTGCTGAATCCGTTGTACAGCAACATTCCTGTTATCAAATGCGACAGAACAATCAACCTCAGCGGCCACGAAAACGGTGTTCTCTGGCATCCTAAATAAGGAGACATCGAATCCTGTAATAATATACGTATCGAACGACGCCGACGTTTCGAATTCCTTTACCTTGACCGTTCAGGCTGCTTAGGACTACGAGGAGATCGAACGAGATCGATGAAAATTCATGGTCGCTCTCCACGTTATTTGACTGTGTAATTTTCTGTAGGTAATACACTCCTGCGATGGTGGCCGCGGTGACCAGAACGAACATCAGGATGCACAACCGCAGTCCTCGACTGAAGACCTTCGTGTACCATTGCTGTGAAACTCTTGTTCCATCGGACTGCACGAATAGGCCGTACCTATGGCGATCGTACAATTACGAGAGAAATATCTTCGGAAGTGAGTCTATTAGGTGATCAGAAAAGTTGTGTCGCTCTGTTGTGGCGGCAGGAAAGAAACGTGCAAAACGTGTAGAAAGAAAGCAATTTGATCATTAAAACAGTTATTCTCGCATGCAGTAACAACGTTTCAAGTGAATAGGTGTACGAAATCGAAATATAAATTAGGGATGGCTTACGAGATAGTCGTAATCGGAGTGCTGTAAGTGTAATAACCGGAGGTGTCGGAATAAATCACCGTGGCTACCAGTAGTGCGTGAGCCTGTCCATTCATCAGCGTCTGGCTGGCCGACGGTCCTGCTTTTCGGTAAATCGTCCTGCATAATCGACGAACAAACGCCTTTATTACGGTGCACGCACCAGCCCGCCACTATTTTCTCTTCCCTTCTGCCACCCCCGTTTTCCCCGTGGTACTATACTTATACCTGTCTAGACGAATGAATCATACGAGTATTTTGACCCACCGACGTGTGTGGCTGGTACACGGAAAATTGGTCAGATTCCTCGTAGGGTCTTTCGACGATCGCAAATACGTATGCACGCGTATCATTCCGACGCTCGTCTGCGCCGCCCGTGAAATTCACGCGAATGAATCGACAGGTAACAGGTGTAAAAACGTTAGAAACTAGAAAGTATTGGGCTGCCGTGTATCGAACGTTATCCTCAAAATTATGCTGGTTGCGGTCGCTCTCGAAATGAAAATGTATAAATATGAATGAATGTTCTGGGAAGGCGAATCCTTCTGTGTGTTTTTTTTTTTATATGTACATAGGTGCAAATGTAGCGATGGAGACCTTGGGTTAGCGAATGAAATCCTTTATCGAGGTGGAACAACCATTCGTATAATTGAACGAACACACTTTTTGGAGATTTTTTAAAAAACTGGTTATATAGAGATTGTTTAAATGTTTGTTTCACAAGTTTCATTCTGTAAATAAGTTCTATCTATTCGCGACGATTTTATGTAATTTTTATACTTGGTTATAAGTATTCTCACTTTCGGTAGAGTAAATAAAAAGAAGTGTTAACGGTGTTAAAAAATTAACCAACATCGATACACACTTGAAACCCAAGACTTCTTCCAGAGTAGTCCATATGTCTCCGATGAAACCAGTCACTCCAGTGTTGTTGGCGACCCTCAGAATGTACGGATGCATCTAAAAATATACATTGATACACGTGACTTTGCAATCTCGATAAAACACTAAATCAGAATTTAGGATGTTTTTAGGATTGCCTACGACATCTGCAGCGACGACGATGGTCCTTCCTCGCAAGTCGTTTGCCATTTTTACGCTACATATTGCGGTGCCGTTCAGTTTCACAGCTTGGATCTCTTCGAATTCTTGTGTAAGAGGATTCCATCGCCAAATATGCCCTGGTATCGTGTGAAAGATTTTCTTCTCCCCACTGTGCCGTAGTAATCGTATGCAAGTTTCAGCAGCGGTTAACGCGAAGAGCGTCTGTAAAAGTTTGCCCAGAGTTCGAATAAATTTCTTGTTAGAGTAATCTGTGTTGTGTGCTTACAGATAGAAGAAGGACCTTCATGGTGCCTCGAATGCTTCTATACTGAATACAATCTCCGTTCGATTTTTACTTTTCGAGCAACAAGGTGACTAGGCATCCGACTTAGAAGGGCATAATTGACAGGTCTGACGGATGGAGGACCTGTCATCGTTAGGTATTTTGTTGACGAGGCTGCTATTCTAGACATATTTTTTAGGTTTTTATGTTAGAGGAAGAAGCCAGTGGAATTGACGAGGGAAAGAATTATTACTATTATTGTTGCATCGTGTTTAAGTAGTATTCTTGGAGATACATGAAACATAGTTGACTCCATAAATTTGTTCAACTAAACACAATTATGTCTGTTTGTATAACTAAAAAGGATTTTCCAAAAAGTTTCCCATCATTTTGTGCTGATATAATTTGTTACATTTTCAATGGAATTATAGATAAAATCCTGATTTTCGTATAAGGAAACAGTTATGGATTTTATGCTCTTAAAAATTGTATTAAATTCTGAACAAATTGATTTTATCTCAAGTCTAATAAGAAAAGTTGTAATAGGAAGTATAAATAATCTTTCTTTCTGTCAAATGATCAATGATTGCAGTTTTCTTCAAATCCTAGGTAAACCTTCTTGTCTTTCTCAAGTTAGAACCTTGATTACAGTTGGCAAGGTAGACTCCTGCACGATTTCCAAGAATTAATGATCGCACCATCTGTCACACCCCAATGAAGGATAATCAAAGAATGAAATGACCAAGAATAATTCTCTAAAAAATCAATGGGAAGTATAACCCTTTACTTATTGAATATTAAATGCTCCGTTAAATTTCATTAAGATATTTCGCAACTGCATACGGTAATACAGATTCGAGAACGCGAGCGTCACCAGACATCAATCTCCGCGGTTGGACCAATCGCGCTGCAGCGAGATGCGCGTCGGTAATGCGTCGTGGAAAGTCGTTTGCGCGCCTTCTTCGATCGATCTCGAGGATCTCCAGATCGACGTCAGAAAAATCCAATGACATTGGCCGTGAATATGTTCCAGGACGACGAAAGAACCATATTCCGCATCATTCAAATCTTCAACCCTCGAGCAATGTCCAGAACCGAAATTTCCTTCACGAATCCTGCGCGGTGAGTAAAATTTCGAACATCAATTATCTTCCTAATTTGAAATATTCTCCTAGCGTCGCGCGTCGAATAGATTTCCATTCCACAGACCGCCGATATGTTTGCTCTGAATGTTTAACGAAGAAGAAGCGTATTCGTGAGGCACACGGTACGAAATAAGTGGTCTGAGAATCGAGTGATGCCTACGGGTGCAATCGTTTATCGATTTGAAAATTGCGTAACATTTACGAAAATTATGCAGCGCGTCGAGCCGTCTAGGTGGCATAGCGAATGGTGATTTCGGTTTCAAAAAGAGTTCGTAGAAAACGCGATTCGCGTGTCTGGGCCAATTACAGTGATGGGCCGACGCGACGCGACGCGACGCGACTGTTTATTTGAATCGTGTGGAACGGTGTACGTTTGCGAAGCGTTCGACCAAGACCCTCGACGCCGTCGAAAACGCGACGCATAAGTATCACTGTTAGGCGCTTGGTAATTTCTAGTCGCAATGTCATTACGAATGTCACGGTCGGCGATGTCTCGCTAAGAGTGTCTGTTCGCGATGGGCGCGTTTTCTTGCAGTTTGTTGCGCGTCGACCGCGCGCTCCTTAATTCAACGAGGCTGCTCGTTGAATTTAATTCAAGTATATGTATATGTCTGTTGGCTATCGGTCGGTAAAGTGTTAGCAATTCTTTTCTGTTTCTGAATATTTCTTTATCACAAAAAGACGCTGAACATTTTTTAAATGGCGATACTGGTCAGAAAAATAGCGGAATGTAGCCGAAGAACGTGATACATTTATGTGACCATGAATAAAACGATTCCAGATGTCGTGTTGGTTCGAGTTCCATAATGTATTACTTGAATATGCGTAGGAGTGTTTAGGGACGTTAGCTTGGAGAAAGAAGTTTTGAGAAGAAGAACGTTAAAGTTAGACAGGCACCAATTAACTGTGCTGTTCGTCGTCTTCTCACAATGTTCTTTTTCAAGCTAACAAATATCTAAAATCGAAGCGATCACGTGGACGATTCGAGTCTCGTTGAGCAAGAGTGACCAGAAGCGTATAGGAAAAAGGGAATTTCGGAGGGCTGTGAAACGGTAGGCGATGGCTCAGCTCGTTAGCGAGATACAACGGCGTAAAAAAAAAGCGAAAAGATATCGGGGATCCTTTTCTGGAGCCACCTGCTGCTGGTGCAAGTGCAATGGGCGATGGTAGAGCCCAGCAGCCCTCGATTGGCCCTCACGATGACAGACATCTGCGACGTGTGGGGCAACAGGAAACATGTGGACGACGCCGACGGTTTCACGCACTCCCGTGGCCCGGATTCACCGATTTCTTCCTTCTCCGCGTTTTCACAAGCTCGCTAGTCGATAACTCACAGTCTCTGGGCTCCGCCCTGTCTCGAATTGCGCTCCCTAAATAACTTAGGAAACTAAACAAAATTACAGTTTCTTTTTCGATCTTTAAATAAGTTAGCGGATGACTTTGTTTGTTTGTTTAGGTCGCAGTAAGAATAATATTATTTACAGGGAACAGTCATGTGAATTAAATAAGCTTTTATTATGTAGATTCATCAATGTATATAACATAATATTTGGATCTTCTTCTCCAAATATTGACAGTTTTCCATAAAGGTTCTCAAAGGTTCAAACTCCCATTACATATAAACAAAGAGAACTTAATCAATGTGTTTAAATTGTCAAGTTAGCGTCCCTCTGTAACAGTGGGTTCGGCCAATTACCTGCCCGTAGCTACGGAACTGTTATTACGTATAAAAAGGTTTGATTACTCGCCGATCGAAAGTCGCGATAGCGATGCAACACCGGATGAACGGTCGTTAACGAACATTGTATCGTAAGAGTTCGATGATGTGCACGGTATTCTTTTCTTTATGATTATAATTCCACTGTTCCGTGGACTGATAATTAATGCAGTTGAGATTGGTACCGTGACGAAAACAAACAGAAGGAGAACGAAAATTGATATTGGTTATTAAATTTCATTCGACGATGTAATCTTCGCGATTAACTCTCGTGGAAAATAAAAGATGTCGGTGTTGAACGTTTGGCCGAGTAAAATATTGTTCTGAAACAAGTCCAGGCGTCGAGGACACATCTTTCTTTTCCTTTTCCGTGGCCGACGATTATCAACAGTTATCCCAGTTACTTTTATCCCAGATTTGCAGATTTCCACCTGTTTAACGATAAACTATATCTTTATATAGGCAGACGTCCGGCAATAATTATCGTTGAAATCAGCTCTTATTCTTACACGTGTCTTGTATACACAACTAGTACATGAACTTTTGCCGCATTTAGGAGACATTGTAATCTGTTTTGAAAAAAATATACAAACAAAGTGACATTCGTCTTTTTACTTTGTTCGTGAACTTTGTTTCGTATTCCGTGCCACCGTAGAATGATCGAAGAAGGATTCCTTCGGCGAATAAAATCCACGTTCGAAGCAAAAATAACTGATTTCACTATTCCGTAACGTGGTGCATCTCGGGGCGAGCGAGCATGCGTTGTTCGATGCGCGGGATTTGAATCGTTTTGTATTTCAAATGTCGCGAAAAGAAAAAAAAGAAGAAGTGCGCCTATCTCGTCGATCCCCGTCTCCCTCGTCCACGCTCGCTCATTTTATTCTTGTTCTTTTTCGTTTGCTATCGCATCTGCTTCATCTTCTGGACAGTGCGCTCCGAGCGTGCCCTCGATTCGGATCGCATAAAAATTCGATCGATTTTTCGGCGTGACCGTGCACAAATTGCAGATGCTGCACGCCGCCAAGTCTTCATCGAATTTTAAATTTCCTCTTATGCTAAATCCTTCGAGATCCTGCCTCCTCGCTCGCCTCCTAGAATATCCTTTCGTGAAACCTTGAAATCACGCGTATTCGTTTCCATTTTCGAATTATCTCACGGCCAAAAGGAGAAAGAAATGACGGGGTCGCACGAGCCACTGTCGATTCACTGTTTTCTTATTCGTTTGGTAAAATCGTAAAATCGTAACGTCCTGATGTTTTCCAGTTGAATTTTTTTCTCGAGAATTTACTTGTTTTGTCCAAACAAATACAAAATAAATTAGTAACTTTGGAAAAGGTGACGCATTTTTATGCATAAATATTCACATATGTTTTAATCATATTTTATAGTGAAAAAGTTCGGAAAAAGTAAAGGTAACACAGAAAAAGAAGAGAAAAACATCTATGATACTTTGAAGCTTTGTAAACCTAGGATTAAAATCGACCAAGTAATGGCCAAAATCCGGTAGGCATGAAAGAGTTACCGCACTTTTTACAGTTACTCTACACGCAAGTACGGTAAAGTCGGTGAATATTTATGCGGGTGGGCGGAATTTTTGTCCGTAGGCTCGCACCGATTCATCTTGGGTGAAATTCGCTCGCGTGAGTCTTGAATCGATTTCGCCTCGAATCGGAGAAACGCGGACGCGGAGATCGATTCATGGCGATCTCGGTGACGCGATGAATGAAGAGAGAGAGACCTGATAACGAAAACCGATAACCGAAAGAATAATGAAACGAATCGATTGGAATCGATACACGAAAGTGGATTCTGGCACGACGCGGGTGGTTATTGGGGGGATTCCCATTAGAAAGGCGGTTATCTAGATATTCATTGGAATTCATTTGAATGAAAAGTTTGAGGACGCATGTGGAGGTTTCTAGACATGTTTAAAGACTTTTAGATGTACCGTCTGAATTCCTTTAACCCTTTGCAGTAAATATATTTTATATTTGTATACGGATGAAGTTCTCAGAAATGTAAAAGAAATTTCTGATTGCTTCTAATTGTTATCTCTGGAATTTTTAGAGCACTTGAATATGTAATTGCAACTTTAAGCCTCATACTTTCAGTGAACCTACTAAAAAGATTGATTTATTCAACGTCGTCGGCAGGAATTCTTCTTCTTCATCTCGACCACCTCGAAACAAACTGTATTTTCATTTTTCTCAAATTTTCTACAGGAACTTTACACGCTCGGTTGAAATAGGCTTTTCACAATGTATAAAGCGTTTCTTTAACTCCAAAAAAAACATAGTTTCATATCGTAGGGTTCTAGGATGGAAATCCGAAGACGGGGACAAGGACGACAGAGGTTAGGGGCAGTCCATCGGTCACCGATCGTAAAGACGATGCGTGGTAAGCTTTAACATTGCTGACGATGAGTTGCAAAGCGCGTGAAAGAGAAGCGAGGAGAAGAAGCGGAGATGGGAAAAGAAGAGTGAAGAGGAAGAACGTAGAGAAAAAAGAGGAGTCGCGAGAAGGAAGGTAAGTAGCTAGGAGGGATTGCGGGAGGGAGATTGCTGGAGAAAGAGCGGAGCATGGCGGCAGAGGCGACGGATGGCGGGTGGAGGAGAGAGGGAGAGCCTCTCTCGGGAAGGAGGGAGGACTGCGCGGCGGTAGGGGGACATAAGGCTCGGGGTGGCGGGGCATCAAGGGGGTTGTCGGAGGAGGTAAAGCAAAGGGCGAAGAGGGCGAGGAGTTGCAGGAGGTGGAGGAGGTGGAGGAGGTGGAGGAGGTGGAGGAGGTGGAG